TTATATACAATTATATGGGCTGTCTTTCTCGGGTAGTGTCTCAATTCCGCCAGCTTGCAATGTCCGCAATCAGGTTTTGTGCTCTTGCAAGTTCGTCGTTCGCCTCGGGGATTGCGACATCGGATGATTGTATGGTTCCATTATGTTCCATATATGCATAAACAATGCATAAACATAAGGGCCATTGCATAGCCAAACCAAAGCAGCAAGATGCAGCAAGTAAAAGTGATCATTCAAAATGAAAAAAAACGCACTCTTTGGAATTCTAACGGTGTTAAACCTTCAGTGCATCTTCCGGAAGTGTCCCCCGTTGCAGAGATCTGACTTTCCATGTGTGACCTTCTTGGAATTTCCTGCCTTGTTGGCACGATCCTTTGCTTGAAGGAATATGCCTGTGGAGGCAAACCTCTGATCCTGCGATGCCGTGACATCCATGGCTATGGTCTCTTGGATGTCGCCCATGGCTGTCCCAAGCTGGTTTGGGGTTTTGTGTGGTTTAACCATGTTTAACCCCCTTTCAGAAATAGTAGTCAGTAGATGTCAGTAGTCTGATGGGGATCATAATGATCATAGGAATGGGAATTATATGGAATTATATGGAATTATTGTCATGTGAGAAAATAGAACAGCAATTAGCAGCCAGCAATCGCTGACATTCCAAGACTTTGCCGGTCCGGATCTTCTTGATCCTCAGAGGTTCAAATCTGAAACTCAGCAAACATGGTCCATTTCCACTATCCCAGCCAATGAGCCAATGATGCATCTGCGAAATAGATGGAACACTTGTGGATTTTTATTCAGAACCTATTTGCTCTGCGTAGTTTTTTCTGAAACATTGACCCAGCCGTTTACAAAACATCGACATCGTTCTAAGTCTCGGGCAAGTTGTCCAGGAAGTGCTGGCGGATCTGCCAAATCCAGGTATATCGGAGATGATGGGGATGGGAACCCCGGCTGAAAAATGGCGCCCCACCATACCCTCTGGTAAATTAACATAGACCCTGGCAGATAGGGGTTGGAAGATTAGTTTCCATTAAAACTAGGCTATTTTCAGGGTCAACAAGTTTATTTACCAGAGGGGACATCCCAAAATTTTCTGCCTGTCCTTTTGGTATCTGAAAGCTGCACCATGTGACAGCTTTTTTTAGGATCAGTCTCTCCTTTCCGGAACATCTCCTTTCCGGAGAAAGCCCGTCCGACGGCTATGTAAACGAGGCTTCTGCGACTCAAACACTGCTGGGACTGATGTTGTCTTTTCATTTATCACGGATGTTTGCAAATTTATGCAGACTGTTGTATCATGTTGTATCTAATTCTGATACAAACTTATACAAACTTATACAACATGCATATCGAATGATACATTTTACAGGTTCAGGTAATTTTTGTATTTCGCTTCTTCTACCAGGCGTTGGGCCAATTGAGGACAAGGATAGCAGCCGCCACTACACACTATTCACAGTCTTTGGCAGAAAGAGTCACGAGTGTCAGAAAGGTCTGACCACAATTGACTTCTGCTCATGTGATTGAAATTCTGTACAGAGAGTCAGCATTGCTTTCCCACATCATGGAGTGGCTATCACGTCCTGACGTCAAGTGTTCAAATTCTCCAATCTAACTCCAGCATCCTATTTTCAAGATGTCAGCACTGTCAACATCAGAAGTTTCCAAAAGCAGCGGCACATGATGACACATGCAACACACAAATGCATACTGAGTACTGCTGACCACAGTCATCCGCGGGGTGTTTAAATAGTTGAAATGCTGAGCTTCGGACAGGGCAGTTTTTCATGGCAGATCCAAATCCAGAACTGATGTGGCAGTCTTTGTCGAATTGCCCTCTTCCACAGTCCTCAAAAAGGAACCCCTCTGCCGAGCTCGAAAAGTCATCCCCGACGGGGTGAGCATTCAAGCTTGGCCCACGCATTTTGGAACACATCCACATCATCCACATATACCCACATATATCCACATATATCCACATCATCAAGAATCTCTTCGGCGCATCCGAGCATCGTGTGGCATTTTCCGTTCTTGCAGCGCCTGAGACGCCGAACTGCCTCAGCAGAAGCTACGAAGCCAAAAAAAATCAGCGTTCAGAAACATGACCGAAAAATCATGGGCAATGCGGCAAGGGGGCATGTCCATTGCGCATCACCTCAGCTGTCAAGACATAGAAAACACCATTCGTGAACAAAGTACCTGAAAGATCCTGAAAAACGATTGATGGCACTTGTTCAATGCAGCCAGGATAGCCAGGATACTGTCTCTTCCGACATGGACTCCGAATGGCTCAGACTTTCTGTCTGGTTGCTCGACTCGGGGATACCTCCGCAGAGGATGGGTTTGTGAAGATTCTGAGTGTTCAAGTGAATCCTCTGGCGTTGCTGTCAAGTCACTATGGAAGTGATTCCAGAAGTCCTCACTGACCTGAAGAAAAACACAGAAAAACAATATGACCTGCACCACAATTTGAAATGGCTGCAGGTCCGTTTTTTTCAAGTAAATATATATATATATAAATACGTCGCACGGATTTTACTCCTTTCTGGAAATAACCATGCGATTTTGAGGTCTTCCCCAGGTCAAAGCATCTCGGCAAAAGACTGGCGCGAAAATGTCGAAGTCCGGGACTTTGATATGCCGTTCCTTGCAGGCGATTCTGGTCATTTTGGCTGTGAAAATGTATGAAAATGTCATCAGTACCACCTTAGCTCCACCAGTTGCACCCATGAAAGGCACAGTTGCTCAGTAGCCATGTTCGTCTTTCGCGGCCAACCATCGCTTCTACTTGGCCCTATATTCAAGCGAACGGATCAGGCTCGTCAATTCTCACGCCATGCCCAAGATGCTTCTGTGGTGATATGTCAAGTGGCTTTGTTTGAAAAAAACCGGGGACCCCATTTCATCCCATGAATTTTGATGCTTCTCCCCATGAAAAGTGTAAGTTGGAGCTGAGTCCCATTCTTGGACAAGCATCCATGTTGCGCATGTGTTCCTGCAGCTTGCCAATCTCTCTATCCAGCGCATCCTGGTATTCCACCGGCGGTGACATCCGTCATACCCAAACGGCTTTGACAAAAAAGGGGGGGATGATTACCCTCTGTCCCGGGGAAATCATGGGGATTGTCCAGCAATGTGACACCTTTCCAGGGTACAACTTAGGTCCTTCCGTTCATAGGCACTATGACGAGCCTATGATGAGCCTATGATGAGCCTATGAACCGCTGGATTTGGGAAATTTGGACCAATCCCTCTGCTGCCATGCTACACTGAACTCCACGTTTTTTTTTTGGTCCTGGCACCGAGAAAATAATCAGCACGAAGGTTTCAGGGATCATGATCCCCAAATAAGGCTGAACAATTATCCTCCGGTCAATCGTAGCTGGAAAATGCCATGTATAAATATGTATACATGATTTTCCCAGCTATAAACCTCCATTTTCCACCATTTTTCCATTACCACGGTGAAAAATCACGGTTTTTCATGATCTTGCACCGGGTCTTCCCCTGCAGTCCGGCATCTTGAGACTCATCTCGTTGCCTTCGTTGCCTTGTTTCGGACTCGTCTTCTCGGTGTGTTCCTCACAGACCTTGGTCTCTGGTGACTCTGGTGTCACCATGTCCGCGAGAGATGAGTGCCAGTGAACCAGCCAGCACTCAGTGAGGCACGCCATTCTTGCATGTCTTCACATGTCGAAGCACATAGCCATGGCCTCAAAAAAAAATAGCAGATGGAGCTCGTACCATGAGAGGCTTTGCTATTTGGATGCATCTTAACAAGCATCGCACGAAAGCAATTTGTTCAAAGATCCTGAGGGCAAAGCCTTGTCCATCCTGGGTGACTCCATGAAATCAACATGAAATCAACAGATCCACTGCTCCACAACCGATCCACAGCGTTGCACCAACAAAAAGGACGTTGCTCGACGTTGGAATCGGATTGCCATCTGAGCATCAACGTGGGACTCTGAAACAGAAGAACTTGAGAAGACCTTTGTGTCATTTCTACCTGCCAGGCGCCAGGCGCCAGGCGCCAGGCGCCAGGCTGGCCGACCAGGCTGGTTAGGTGTGAGAAAAAAAACCCAGTGTTATTAGGTATCTCCAAGTTGGTTAAGTCATGTCTGCTGTAGCTTTCTACAGACTAATTCAATGTTTTGTAAGTTGCACCCTCATGTTTCTTGGGTATATCTCATATCATCAGTGATCTCTCTCCAAATCTAGAACAAATACTGTGTACGCAGGTGTATGTGTATCAAGAATATGCGTATATTATTGCATACCCATACCATATGTTATATTCTTGTATTAGACTATCTACTCTATTACATTGTCTTATTTAGTGTATTGTGTTATACTATGTGATATTACTTCATATCATAATATCAAATCATATTAGAAGTTTAGCTTGTAGGACAGGAAAGTAAATCCTACCATAGAATGTTCTAGGATATTGTGTTGTAGTGTCAAGATCGTGTGCTATATCGTGTTGTATTGTATATGTATATATATATATATATACACACACATATTTATATAATAGATAGACTAGTGGAAATAATATATTGTGTATGTATACAGGAAATACAATATGTATGTAAATGTGTATGGTATACATATTATATCATATTATTTATTCTAGATACAGTACATTAAGATATTGATAATATATATATACAGTATTGTAAATAGTGTGTATATACACATATTATATATATATATGTATTGTGCGTGCATAATGATCGAATATGTCTCCAACAATGATTCATATATGTCCAGATTCATCAAGTGGAATACCAACGCCTTGCCGTGCGAGTTGCCGAAGCAGACCTGCTGTACCATCGTCCTGGCAAGGATGAAAGGATATGACGGATATGATGACAAGGACTATGATATGATACTATATGATAATATTATGATAATATGATAGGACTATGACAAGGACTATGATATCATATGATATAGTCTTGTCTTTGTGTAGCTGTGCAGTATCAGCCATATCAGCCCCATGGCTCGATGCAAACGCTGAGTCGCTGAGTCGCCTCCATCTTTCCAGCTTTTTCTTCCAACGTCTTTCTGGCTGAGTGTTCATCACCTGTGAGATCTTGAAGAACCTGGCGACATGGAGATGGCTGCATTGGGTGTGATTGAAAATGGTGTATGTATACATATATATATATATACACACCAAATGGCGAGTCTAATCAATAGGGAAAATATGTGAAAATCATGATACACCAGTGAGACTTGAATGACTGGTGCTTTCACACTTGGAAGATGTCGTCAAATCCTGGTCTTTCTTGGCAAAAAATGCAGTTGTTACACCAAAAATTCGGAAAAAAAGGCTATCCCGGATCCAAAAAAGATGGAAAATCCTTCAAAAACACCAAAATCACCATATAAAAGTATTGTCTCTTGGTATTCTCCAAAAAAATCGATCCAAAGTCATCGCCTCTGCCAGGGACCAGAGGCTGGGGCGCAACTGCTCCAGGTTGAGGCTGGAGACCTACGAAAGGGTGGCAAGGGATGGGAGTGGCGATTGGAAGATGGTCGTATCTTGGAGACTTGTGTGGATTATATTGGATTATCATATATCAAATGCTGATTACAGGATACCCTCTGGTAAACGTTTACATAACTATGGACAATCACCATTTTTAATGGGTAAATCAACTATAAATATCTATAAATGGCCATTTTCAATAGCTATGTTTGTTGACCAAAGGGTACATATATTCATGTACAATGCGTCATTGCATTGTTGGTTGAGTTCTTCTGCGCGCAAAGTGCTGGTCCAAAAGATGGGTTTGAATCCTGCCTGTGCCAAGCACAAGAATGCTAAGCAAATTCGCCACATCGCCTGAGTATCACCGAGGCGAGAAACCCACAACTTCTCCAAGGAAAGGCCACGAGCTCTTCGTGTCGCTTGGCTCCAGACCCTCTTCAGAGACACAACTTGCTCCAAACCAAACGCTGAGATTCTTAGAACTTAAAGTGGGCTGCAGATCAAATTGCTGTAGACATAGACATCTGTGGAATGGTTTTCTGAATGCCTCTCTGGTCGCTCTCCCCTTTCGCCTGTCTTCCAATATTTGAACTTTGCAACATCGGACACACGCCGTGCCGTGGTGCCTTCCTCGTCGTCACTGCCATCCTCTTCAGCTTGACCTCAGATAATCCACAAAAATTTCATCAGCTGGTGCTTCAGCCGTTTGGAAAATGCAGATGGTGATCCTCGGCATCATCCAATAACATCCAATGATGAACCAAACCAGCTGCGGTCGCAAATATTTAACAACTCCAAATTGGAGAACTGAAGTGTTTTATTTTCGCTTGTATTACTTTTTTTTACAGGGATTAGAAAACAAACCAGTGGATTTTGGGGGTACATACTTTCTGACAAAACCCAATCAAATGGTTGCTTTCCAATCTCCATCATCCAGGCCTGCATTGGGTCGGAAGCTCCTTGCAGTGCGCTCGAATTCCTGAGGAATAACGGAATAACCATCAAGACATGTATCTGTCGCACCTCAACAATGCTGGACCTCAGCAGGTCCAAGACTTATCAAGACGGACAGCATCTAAATCCAATTTAGTTACCAGTTCAGTTTTTTGATGTTTTTCTACAACTGAAGTCCGGCCACTTGGAAAACACAGAAGTTAGCTTCCCACATGGTCCCACATGGTCCCATGGGACTCAGCCTGCTGGAGATTTCCCAGCTCCGCCATGGCAGCGTTCATCTCTTTGACGTTGACCTCTGGGACCACTTGGGTCTGGGTCAAAGTTGGGAGCAAAATTGGATTAAATTGGGTCAAAGATGTGAAGCATCATGAATCATCTATGATGCCCTGTTTGGGGTAGCAGAATCCACTGGAATATCCCATGATTGAACACACCCACTTGCTTCTTGCAAAGCGCCAGAGAAGGCGTTGAAAAATAAAGCAAAAGCACAGTCAAAACTCCCATTGTTTTGAACCACAGCAAAATGTGACGAGATTTCAAACAGAATCATCAATTTCAAACACTGCCACAATGGTTGCCTCAACCAAAGCTTTCCCACCTCTGCGGCTGCGCCTGCTTGCCTTAAGTGAAAAGTATCACAGGCCACAGGGCATCAGGAAATTCATGTTCCATTCATAGTCGCTGCATAGTAGATAATTGTATGCATGTAAGTATATGTATATGTGTATGTTGTACATGTATATGTATATGTTGTATATGTATACGTATATGTAAATGTATATGTGTATATGTATATGTGTACGCATATGTATATGTGTATGTGTATATGTATATGTATATGTACATGTATGTGAACCGAAGGTTATTTCTCCGATTATGTTCGTTGGGGTATTGTGGAAGATGATTCCCTTCAGCAATGACGTCAACAGAAGTGCAATTTCGGCATGGCGTTCTTTTCCACTGGAGCTTGCAGGGGGTCTTGAGCCAAAGGAGCGATGGATTTCGATCCTTGGCCCACAGGAACTTAAGGTATACTGTACATGGGATTATGTTATGTGCTGTGGTCTACATCCCATTCGCACCCCCCACGCATGGACAACTTTGTTGACCATGCGCAAAGGAGTGTTCCTTAAATTGTTCCTATGTACCTGCATTTGTTCATTTATTGAATTATGGAGAGCTAAAGTCTGTTCAGAACTTCATATCTACGTGGCGGCTTGCTACAATCTCTACCGAAAGATAAAGGGTCTGTTCACGTGCACGCAGACACGACGTAGTCGGTGTCTAGCGTTGAGGTTCATCCGATGTGGCGTAGCCAACATGGAGTCCCACTCAAGCATGTGAATTAAAATAAAAATCAAACACAAAGATGACTACGGAATTAGAAGTTTACCTTCCCATTCCTTCGTCGGTTGAGAAGTAGACCGCTGTAGAAACTCAGCGTCTCATGCAATGATGTTCAAAAAATGTGTGGTTCTAAATTAGCCGGCTCAGAGTCCTCTCAGAAATCATTCAAAATGAAGTAGAGGTAAATCTCGAGCACTGATTGCATCCTCGCATCGCCAGGTTCAATCAGGACCTATGCAGAGGTCAGATCGCTTAATCATCTATATCCCCATCCGTAGTATCCCTGATGATTCCAGTCTCCGCCACGGTGTGAATAAGATCTTCCACCTTTTCCTTGGTCTTTTCCACCCTTCTTTGGCGGGGTCACTGGAGCTTGTTTTGGCGGAGGAGCGGTTTCAACTGTTCTCCATGTTGCTGACGATGATGCTTTCGCTTTCGACGCTCTTCCCAGTGCTGGTTCTGCCTTCGGGGCAGCTTTCGATTTGCCAGCGACTGGGTTGGTACGTTCACGATCAGCAGGAGTTGGGGCATCAGCAATCGCAAGTATGTGAGCTTCTGTCAAATGAATGCCCCACCTTGGTCGTTGATCTTCCCGTTGCTTGATGTGATTGTAGTCATCGATTGCATCATATAGCTTCTGAAGCAGAGGTCGTGGCAATTGTCGGCCATTCTGAAGGATCAGGTGTAAAAGTGAAATTCTTCGAAGTGGTGGACGAAGAGCACACACAATGTCAACTGGGTTCAGTGTGATTGTGTCTTGAAAGTCTACGTCCCTGAAGAAATAAACAGCATTTACCCTGTATGCTCCTGCAATGATTCTTCTAACCAAGACGTCTTGTCGGTCAAGGGCGTCGCAGGCCGCCGTGGTCTTTCTCATCTCATCCATTGTGGTGTCATATTTTGACAGCTTCTCCATCTCCTCATCAAAGAAAATGTTTTGCAAGTCTTCATATGTATAGCCACATTCAAGGGTGTATATGAGAAGTCTTTTGAGTACCACTGTCCCATAATAAGCATTGACGAATCCCTCTTCTCCGATGTCGTCCTTTTGATTTGGTCGGCCGATCTCTTTGTAGAGCTCTTTCATCTGTTGTGCAGTTGGTTCAATGAGTTCACCATTTTCATCCTCGCCCAGGTAAGGTGTCCTTGAGTCCAGGTCCATCCTAAATTTCTGGTTCTGTTGAAAATGTTTCCATGCCGTCCCGATGTCTCCACAGAAGTTCCGTTGGAATAGTCTGTAGATCCTGACGATATGTAGTCCCATCTGCAACAGGAGGATCTTGATGAATTCTGGTTGAGCATCTCCAATTGTGCAAGGTTCGATTGGTAGGACCTTTGATCCAAACTCAATTCGCTGCATCCATTTGGGGTACTCAATCTCTGCATCACGAGCTTCTCCAGCCTCATACTCTTCAATGTTGATCTCATCGACCGCTATTTCTTCATCATCGTTCTCGTCGGTCGGTTTTCCTTCTTGATTGAGAAATTCGTCGACCTCATCTTGTTCTCTGAAGTCTCTTTTCTCATCATTGATGTCGCCCTTCTTCGAGGCTTGATCATCATTTTCCTCTTCTGGTTGAGGTTCTTGTTCTGGACTCTTCATGGTGACATCATCATCATCTGGCATTGCCTCATCGTTATCATCATCACCTGTCAAATCGATCTTCACCTCTTCCCATGCTTTCTTGACATGGTCTTTGAGATCTTCTTCTCGATGATGTGATTCGGCCTTTGGTACGGTCGCCACGGTGATTTTGATTCGTTTCCTCCATCCATGACTCACCAAAAATCCTTTGCACATCACACAAATTGACAAAGGCGCAGGGGTTTCCATCAGACATGCGGGGCATAGTCGATGGTCCTCTTTGCTGGGATGATGGGTGACTGCCAATAATGAAATTGCATCATTCCAATCCGGATGTCCAGGGAACAATCTGTGAGTATGACTGAAGTGACCTGTCCTGATGTCGACGAGTTTTCGAAGTTCTTCAAGATCGGGTGATGATTCTTCAGGCACAATGTTTCCAATGAGCTTGTCAAATCGTTCAATGGTGGCCACTCTCTTTGCTCCTTGCACAGAAAGAACGAGTTGATCTCTTCCCTTTGTGATCATGAGACGGTAATAGTCCTTTTCTTTCCAATCGTAATACCAAACAGCATCGAATGACTCGAATGGAATTGTTTCTTGGACCAAAATGTGTCCGTCTGCTGACAATCTAGGGGAGAACTTGGCGATGGAATCATACGTGATGTAGATATAGACAAGATCAGTTTGATCGATCTTCCTGAATCTCAGCACCGTCTGACTTCTCACGTCCCACGGTGCAAATGGCACGAAGAACGTATTGATGCGATCGCCTCCTCCTCCGGGACGTAGTCCTTCTCTGAAGATTTGAGCGATGTTGTCAAATGTGGTGCAGTGAAATCCTCCTCCAAGAGTGTATCCTACTCCAGGGTTCATCTGATAGGAAGTCTTCTTGTCTTCGATGTGCACACCGCCTTGAACTCTTGAATGTGCCATAGGGGCTCGGATTGCCACTGGCCAAAGCCAAATCTCTCGATCTGCTGTGCCGATCTCCAACCTCAGTGTTTGTCGATCAAGTCTCGAGGTCAATCCATCATCAAAATTGTTCAAGAGGTATTCCAACTCAGCCTTTGTGACTTTGAGTCCTAGCACTTGGGCTCGGATTCTCTTCGTTTGCTTGTACTCGGTGAAAATCACTCTCTGGAAATTGTTCCACCTCTCAACAAGTATCGGGTAGTTGACGTGTGTCGTTCCAGCCAATGTGTGTTGGTCTCTCCAAATAGCATCGTACTTCAAGATCGACTCAACATTGACCCAACCTGCCTCATCGCATGGTAGTCCACGGTGATTTCGGTTGTCTCTGACGCAACCCAAGGAGTGGCGTAGCGCAGCATTGAATCTTTTCGACAGTTCAACTATCCATGGTGGGTTTTCCCACTTGTTGCCCATCCACTCATTCTCGCTATATCGATGCACCTTCCACCATCCCATTCCAAGGTATTCTTCTCCATTGATGCGGGCAAGTTGAAGTGTACCAATATTGTGGCCATGTGTGAATGGTTGGATGTACTTGAAGTTCCAGTTGTTTCCATGTTGTTTTCTTTCCTCAGTAAGCCATTTCATGTAAACATCATGATCAATATGTTTCAAAGCATTCAGCTCTTCAATGGTCGGCAAAACAGGCGGGGACTCCTCAGCTGCACGTTCAATCAGCATATCAAGCTCATGACGATTCTTCACACCTCGGCTAATTGGGTTGACTTCAACACCATTCACTAAGTATTGTCCTCCTTCTTCACGATCACCAATATCGTACATAAAGGCTGACTGACTGTAGAAGCACTTTGTCACTTCCTCTTTCTCAGTGAATCTGGTTCTTCCCCAACGCTTTCCTCGTGGCATGACGTTCTTTGGGAGCTTATCTTTTCTGCCTCTGGTCGCAGCTTTGGATCTTTCGGACGATGATGGGGATTTGGACTTCTGATCCATGATCAATCTCATGCGCCAAATGGTGTCCCTCATGTTCTCATCATCTGGTGTAGTGCATTCATCAATGCCATGTCTTCCACCACAAATGAAACAGTATTGAACATCCAAGGCATCTGAAATCAACTTCTCAAATCGATCACGGATGTCACGCACCTCAGTTCGGCGCTTCTTCGCTTCCGAAGGTTGGCCCCCCATGTCATCTTCCTCCTCCTCAATCTCGATGTCACCAGCTCCGGCATCAGTTTCTCCTGAAGCTTGTTCTGCTCGATGGCCCCGTGCCGTAGGCGTCGTGGTCTCCTCATCAGGTTCATCAACTTCATCCACCTCTTCATCGCTTGATGAGACTTCAATCATCTCAGGGTGGTCGTCGTAGTTGGCTTTTGGGAGCACTGGCATTCTGGTGATCTTCTTCTGCATGAGTAGGTCAAAAAT